GCCAAGAAACCTTGCACATGATTTCTTAAACATCTCTGTCAATGAAACAAGCATCAATTTCCATGTTTGCATTCAGGGATGCCTCAAAACATCGTTGATGAATTATACATCCTTTCCATTTTGGTACATATCAAGTAGTTTTACAGTCCAAAGAAGAACCATTCAGATTCAGAGCTCTTTGGTTTGCTTGCGAGCCTTAAATGGAAGTACTTAAATGGAATTAAGTAAGTTAAGTACTTAATTCATTCCGGAGGTCTGTTCTTAATCTGAAACTGTTCTTAACCTGAAGCACCACTTTAGCTAATGGGGCCTCCCGCTGCCGCCGCGCAGCCGGAGCACGATTTCTGTTCTCATCCTGAAGCAAAGTTCTTAACCCGAGGTACTATTTCTGGGTTAGCGGAGTCTGTAACCTGAAGCGTATGTAACCTGAGGTACCACTGTAGTAGATCAGGCAAGGAAGGCAACAATGACTTTGCTTCCTATGCACTCGTTTCAGCACATAGTATGCTACTGTGTACTAAACACACCTCATCTTGTAGAAGCAACAGAGGCAACATTTTCTTTTAACATTTGGATGCTCGGGAGCTTGTACCCTGTTCCACCCCCTGCCCTGCATTGTCAAAAGAGCCTGATAAATGCAGAGCTTTCTGTTCAATTATAGTATTCCTCTCCACAGTCCTGTACAATAACACCTAATAGCATTACTTTGCCTTTCCAGTTCTAATAAGAATTTGACAGGGCATCCAAATCACTGCCTATTGCATCATGCAAATGCTCAGCTTAAAGCCTTAGAAAGGTCAGAGTACAGAATTCACAGAAAATAATATTCTGCAGATGAAAATCTTTCAGCCAACTCAAGTTTTCTCTGGAATGACCATTATGGCAGCATACTTGGTTCTAATTAAAAAGCTTGCCCTGTATATCCAAGCTGAAGCATATCTTTAATATATACCCTAAAGCAGTGCTTGTTTTTTTCTAGAAAAATAGGTGCCAGTACTCACCATGAAGTAGTTACAGCAAGTGCCACACTTTTTAAAAACAAAAAAAAGGTGCAGTTACTGCGTACCCTGAAAAAAGCACTGCCTTAAAGGTATAACAATGGCTCCTAGCAAAGGAGTTTCCCATTTTGCTTTGCCTGTTTACAGCACAGTGTCGTGTTTTAACATTAGGCAGAAGAAATAAGTTTCCAAAAGCAAGGTCCTTAGCAACAAGCAAGAAGATGCCTTTGGGCAGCCAGGACATGTGGCAGTTCTATTAAAGTGTGGAGGTTTCAAGACAGACTCCTTCAACATCAGCCGCACACAGAAGCTGTTTAATTTTGCCTCAGCTGCACGGTTTTTTTCTTTTTCCAATTCAACACACTGCACAAATAATTTGGCAGAATAGGAGTTGATTCCTGGAATTTAACGTTCTTGGAACAATATACGTTCGAGCAACTTTCTAGCTTTTTATCAATATGTTTGAACAATTAGGAAGAAAAGAAACCACAGAAGTAGTGGAGATGTCAAGATGAAATTGGAGACGGGCGAAGCCATCCAAGAGAATTCTGTGGAATATTCCACGGAGGCCATATTGCATGGAATTTGGAGGCTGCCTGGTTGTCATGAACTGGCAGGACAACGGGAAGGAGGAAGGGGATTCTGGCGAGGGGTGTAGCCGGGACAGGGACACACCAGGGCAAGCAGAGGATGCGGAGAGGCTGGTGTAGGAAGTACTCACAGGGTGACAGAGGATGACGATCAGGAACCAGAGCAGCAGGACCAGTCACCAGAGCCAGAGAGGCCCCTGTCTCCACAAACATGGTGGGCTCTGAGGCACAGGGAGCAGCAGGAGCGGTACTCTAGGAGGCTGAGGCAGACAAAGGCCCACAGCCATCTCCCTAGCTGGCCAGGTGGGGCTCGCTAGCTCTGGAGGAGGGGTGTGATTCCTCAGCTGGATTAGACTTGAAACAGGTGAGGGTAACATGCCTCATCAAGCCCAGGTGCTGCCATCAGCAGGCAAAGTACAAAAGGGAAGCAGAGCTCACTGCCCATGTTGATGGAGCTCAGCTTGGATGCTGTAGGATCTCTGTGGGACCATGCTTCAGTTTGGACACATGGATCGATCCTGGACCTGGGACTTGGCTTGTCACCAGGTAGGCCAGGGGTTCAGGACACCTCTATATCCCACCTCCCCTTCCTCTGCTGTTTCCCACCTTTGAACTGTAAGCTCCATGGGGCACAGATCTAACCTATTGCACTCTGCAAAAGCACCATGCGCGCTGAGTGTAACAACAATATTGGCAGTGCTGAAGCTTGCTAGAGAAGGTTGACAAAGCACTTTGTTCTAGATGGTGTTTTCACCTCTGCACAGAACCTGGTGGGGCAGGGGGAAAGAACTGGAGCTGCAAGTTGGTGTGTGCTAGGCATATTCCTCTTCCCCACCCCACTGGTATTGGTTTCAATGAGGCCTTGTGCAGGAGATGTTCTCGATCTCAGCTTCCCCTTTATGCCAATGTTTGGATGAGTTTAATTCACCCAAACAGAACTGGGGCTGAACTGTATTTAAAGTTAATTCCAAGTTTAAGTGAATTAAATTTCAGCTAATTCTAAAGTTAATTTGCTTTTGTTATCCCCCCCCCAATATATATATCAGCAAAACCTTAAACAAATTCTCCATCCCACTGTTGTTGCCACCACCACCACCATCATCATTTTATTTGTATGCTGCCTTTTCATAGTTAAAACCATGGTTAAGGCGGTTTACAAAGCTGTGTATAACTTACATTTACAAAATTACAGACATAACAGAAGTCGAGTTGGGTGGGACCCCAACGGTCATCTAGTCCAACCCCCTGCAATGCAGGAATCATAAGAAATAAAACACATTGAAAAGTACACAACCAAACTGAAAAATTTCCACGTAAGTCATAAGATATAAAAGAAATACAAAGATTAATATCAGTATCAACAACAAAACCCCAACAAAAGACCTGAGCTGCCCTGCTAATCATCCGAGCAAAGGCCACTTACAATGGAAATTGCTTTGTATAATGAAACTTATCACCAAGCCTTGCATCTTAGTATATTTTTTGTGCTTTTGCTTATCTGCTGAATAAAGGCAAATGTCAGTCATTATCGACACTCTTCTCATAAATAATGGGACAGGTAACAGATACATAGAGATGTTTAGGAAGTTGGAAGAACTTATATCTCCCTCTTGTGGATTTTCATGAGTCGGTTCCTGTGTCCTTATGTGACTGAGCTGTTTTGGGAGGGGGTGTCAAAAGCTGAAGATCAAAACCAAAGTGGGAAGGCGGAACAAACACTGGAGGTGTTAATGGCAAGAAGACTGGAAATTTAACTGTAGCTGCTAAGGAAAGCCCTTGGCAGTGCTGAGAGGCAGTGTGGGATCTTTCTTATTCAGTGACTATGTGGGAGGCTGGCAAGGAGAGTTGTGCAGATAAACTGAAGAGGCTGGAAGGACGCTGGAAAAAGTGTTAAGACTATGAACAAAAGAGGTGGTTATGCTTAGTCTAAAGAAGAGACAATTAAGAGGCAATACGGCAGCAATCTCCAGACATTTCAAAGGCTGCTGTTGTTGGAGCAAATTTGTTTTCTCTTGCCCCATAGGGCAGAACTTGAACCAAAGGGTTCAAATGGCAAGCCATAAAAAATTTGAATATTAGGAAGAACCTGAACCAAAGGCTTCAAATTGAAAACCATAAAAATTTGACTGAATATTAGGAAGAACTTTCTGATGGTACAAACCTTGTAGAGTAATGATGATGATGATAATTATAATAATAATAATAATAATTTTTATTTATATCCCGCTCTCCCCAGCCGAAGCCGGGCTCAGAGCGGCTAACAACAGTAAAATGATACAACATTCTAAAATCAGTTCATTATAAAATCAGTTCAAATCAGATTAATGGCAGACAACCTTGTACAGACAACCTTGGTGGGTGATGGGTTCTTATACTTTGAAGGTTTCTAAGCAAAGGTTGGCTGGTTGTAGGAGTGGGCCTTCTGCACCAGCAAAGGGTTGGACTTTCAGGTACCTTCCAGGTCTTAGGTCAATGGCTAGCAGATAAACTACAAGGCAGATTGGGAAATGGGAGCTCGGGGGTGGGACGACTGGTGTTGTCCTTCAGCAACTCCGCCATTCACATTATCTGAAAAATCATACCAGGAGTCATCTGCTGTGCAGATCGTTTATCTAGAAATAAATAACAGCGCCCATGAAAATGCCCAAAGGCTCTCATGTTCAGTGCAAAGTGAGACATTTCTTTCACCCCTGAAACGGACTTCTGCTAAATACAGTATTGTAAAGAAAGCACTGCCCTCTGGTGTTCAAACTTGGTTTAACGCTTCTGTTTTACTCCTGAAAGGAAGAATACCTTCCCTGTTGAATACAGTGGTACCTTGGGTTACTGACGCTTCAGGTTACAGACTCCGCTAACCCAGAAATAGTACCTCGGGTTAAGAACTTTACCTCAGGATGAGAACAGAAATCGCACTGCGGTGGTGCGGCGGCGGCAGGAGGTCCCATTAGCTAAAGTGCTACCTCAGGTTAAGAACAGTTTCAGGTTAAGAACGGATCTCCAGAATGAATTAAGTTCATAACTAGAGGAACCACTGTACATATAATTCCCCATGCGTCCTTGCGGCATGTAATTTCCATGGTGGGTGATGCACATTGAGAATGGTAGGGCAGAAGAAAAGGAGGACAACAGCTGGAGGAGGAGCCAGAGCCAGTGATAGGTGTTTCCATCTTGTTTAGGCTTGCCATACATGAGAAATTCCTGACATGTCCTGTTTTTTGGGTGTAAAAATGGCGGGGTGTGCCGAATTGGCAGAATGGCAAGGAAAACCCGGATGTATGGCAGTATGCTGGAAAAAGAAGCAGAAACAGCTCAAGAAACTTAAAATCACTATGTTCGGATTAGGTTTCCCCAGTTTGAGTTTGTCATCCTTTGCAGAGTCCCTGTTTGCTAGTATAGGTTAGTATAGGTTTCAGCCTGGTTAGCTCAGTTTGTTAGAGCGTTGTGCTGCTAATGCCAAGGTTGCAGGTTCGATTACCGTATGGGACAGCTGCAGATTCCTGCACTGGAAGGGGGTTGGACTAGATAGCCGTTGGGGTTCCTGGTCCAACTCTACAATTCTGTGGTTCTGTGACTGGAATGGAGGCAGGCAGCAGTTCCATGGCATATAAAAGGAAACCCACACGTAGTGGAATTCTCTATAAGAGGCCAGTTGTCCTAGCATGCATTTTGTTCTGGTGGAGGCTTCACAGTTCTGGGCCATTCACCTACACTTGGTACACTCTAATTTAAGGAAATAAACACTATGAAATTGCCATCTAGAGAATAACAAGCAAATCAGCCCCAATGATTGTCTGGGAAACCACCCTATCCCCCCCTTTAAATAAATGCATCCCCTCTCTACAAATTAAATCAGCGGCAGCTCCAATCAGATTTGGCAGGCAATCTCTTTTCCTGGGACTACTTTCCATTTCCCTTTTTTCTGGTACAGCAACATACAAGGTTAACGGGTCAGACTCTTGTCCTACTAATGACTGATAGTGCTTTGTTTGACTCAACATAATCACTTCCTTGGTTGTCTCTGGTCTTGGCACACATTTGTGATGACCTTTCTCCATGTTGTGTGGAAATTCCTCCATGGTCATTGTATGCCATGACTTGGTGTCCTTTATTCTAAATTGGAATTATCTGGTTGAAAGCTTATTTGAAAAGAGATTTATCTGCAGAAACGGCTTTCTTGCGTGTGGACCTCAAACTCCCTGCCCAGCATGTGCTGCTGCTGCTGCCTGCCGTTCCTAGCACCTCTTTGGTCACTGCAACTGGAGCCGTTGCATGCTGAGGCTAGAAAATACAGGATTTCCACTTGATCCAAACCGAGACCCTAGCTCAACGGTAGACAATCTGCTTTGAATGTAGAAGGCCTGAGGTTCAACTCCCAACACATCTTGCTTGAAACACTGGAGAGCTGCAGCCAGCCAGTAGACTCAGTAGGAGGTAGCTTCCAATAATAATAATAATAATAATAATAATAATAATAATAATAATTTATTTATACCCCGCCCATCTGGCTGGGTTTCCCAGCAGCTTCCAACAGAATATTAAAATACAATAGTCTATTAAACATTAAAAGCTTCCCTTAGCAGGGCTGCCTTCAGATGTCTTCTAAAAATCTGGCAGTTGTTTTTCTCTTTGACATCTGGTGGGAGGGTGTTCCACAGGGCAGGTGCCACTACCAAGAAGGCCCTCTGTCTGGTTCCCTGTAACTTGGCTTCTCGCAGCGAGGGAACCGCCAGAAGGCCCTTGGCACGATGCTCCTCTTCCAGGGTGAAGGAGGAGAGGAATCTAGAGAAGTATGAAACAAGGCAGAGCCTGAAGCAGAAGGAGCTCCAAGCAGCTGCCTTGTCCATCCTTGTCCATGTGAGGCGGGGACCAAAGAGACCCTGATGTTAGAGGTCTGTCATCTGGCTCTTGGAGAGGCTACAGGGGCAGCTGCTGAAGGAAGATGGTCCATTTTTTGTTCATCTATATCCTCCTCGCCTTCCCACTGTTGGGATATGAGTACTACGCAGCTGCAAACTAGCAGATCGATGTTTACATCACATGATGGCCCTGACCGTGGGACAGGATGTTCAAGGGAATTCACAGGGGTTTGTTCTTTGTGTAATATGAGACCTTCCTGTTGCTTTTGTGAAGGAAGTCTCTTTCAGTTGCTCGGAGAAGTCTGAGTGAACGGACCTGTTTTTGTACAGTTGTAAAGTCAGAAATAAAGTAGAGATGTAATAGACTTTCTGACTATCTTCTTTCTCCTGCTGGTATGCAAGGGGAAGGGGGTGTGCACCTTTCACGCAGGGAGGTGTTGCCTATCAAGATCTTCCTGGACTGCCGGGATGCCAGCCAGGGTAGATCACCGGCAAACAAGCCCCTGGAGCCTGGGAGAGAGGCCAGCCTCTCCCGAGGGGGCTAGTTTTCCAACACCCACCAGGCAGATTGATGGAACTCCTGCCAGGGCTCTTTTGCTTTTGCTTCTCTCTGGAAAGCTTTGATGGTTGCTCTGTTGCTAACTTGGCTTAATGGCAACACCATGGCAGGAGGGAAGCCATCTTGTTAGGTTCAGCTGCAATTGCATCCAGTGGAGCTATTCCAGGTGCTGAATTATGTAGTTAATCTCTGCCTAAAGTTTCAGTTGTTGTCTGCCCCTAGTGACAATTTTGCCATCTGATTTACAGAGATAACTGTTTGTATTTGGCTATTGATCTTAATACAAAACTAAAGTTTGAGATACAATAGGCTCCATCTTTCCCTGTTTTATACGGGACAATTTCATTAACTTAGCATATTCTATTGATTTTTATTTTTTAAAAAACAACAGGTTGCTGCTGTTATTTATTTATTAACTTTATTAGACACTTGGAGGAGTTGCAAAAGTTGGATGTGCATGAAGCACATATTTTAATTATATTTTCTCCTCACCTCCTGTTTTTGTGTGTAAAACCAGAACTGATGCAGATACAATATAGCTGTGGGCAACAATTTCAAATGATGGAGGTTAATACGTATTAATTTGTGTTTGTTGCTGTGGAATATTCACAGATGATTCTGACTGTATGGAGCTGTTTTTATCTTTCCTTTAAATGACAACGGTTTTCTTACGAAAAGAAAGGAGTTTGAAAACATTCAGAGAAACCTGCAAAGAAACATCTTGAATGACACAGTAGGCCTGATGAGGCCTGGTCCCTGCTGTTTGGAGGAGGAAAACTCAGATTGCTGATATTCCCTGATAAGAAATACAGTCTTCCTTGCTTTCCTCCTTTGTCACAAATAGTGTCCACCTACCTGCCCCCCACGACCCTTCTCCAAACTATCATCTAGTAGCCCTTTCAATTTCAGCTGCCGGCTTTCAAAGGCAGATAGTAACCAGATATCTCTCAGGATAGCTGTGCAGAATGCTCACCTGACAGTAACCTCAAGGGGTTGTTTGAAACCTGACTGCTCCAGGAAACAGCAGCTGTGACGTGTGTTGCAGCAGCAAGACAGACACTCAGCAACATTCGTTTCAAGTGCTGGTCTGGTCTTTGTCTCCGCTTCGGGATTAGATAGAGCTCAGCAGATAGGCAACAGACGCACAGTATTTAAGCAAGGGAGAAAATGCTTACCGGGGGGGGGGGGGACAAGCGAGCTGCTATAAATCTTATAAACTAATGATAAATAATACAGAGTAGTGCAACTGGCTGCCTTAACTCCCATCTCAATCCCTTAAACAAGCATTATGTGAGCTGTTTATCCTTATGATCCTGTCTTATTCGGGTGCTGAGAATATGCATGCATGGCAATTTCAGACCTTAACGTAGGGTTTGGAACACATTACAGCAGGGCAGGGGTGAGTTTGTGGTTCTCCAAACGATGCTGCACTACAACTCCCATAATCCCTGACTGTTAGTCATGCTGGCTGAGGCTAATAGGGAATTGCAGTCCAACAATTATTGTGTCCAGTAATATTTGGAGAGCGAATGGATTGCATCAACACAAAAGAAGGGGGTTAATGTCCCATTCAAAACGATGGGAATGAAAGCAGCAGTGGCTAACTTGCTCCACTGATTTCAGTACCAGCACAGCCACCTTCTGTCTGCCTGTTCCTTGAATGCATGGGGTATGTACAAGGTGGCACCCATTGCCCCCCCCCCCACGGCACCCATGAGCCTGTTTCTCCCACCCCAAACTCCATGCATAAACAACCCCTGTACAGTTCCCTTGTACATACATAGAGACTTTGATGTGGTTGGGAATCCTGAATCGTTAGCAGTGATGCCAACAAGCCTCATCCCACTTCCCATACCAGTTGCCCAGGGAAGATAATTCTGAATGGATGGGGCTTGAGTCATGACTAACTTTATCTAGAGTATGGAGAGTCTGTATCATATGTTGCAATATCAGGAGGAACTCGGTGTTGTGCTATTGTGGTAGTTCTGTCAGCAGAATGTTTCTGTTGGCCGGACAGAACAATCTTCCCCCAGAGCCAATTGGTGGGCATGGGCGTGTGGAAAGACCCCTTGCACCAGTGTGACTCGATGTGCTGGCCCCAGCTAGTGCAACTGTTTAGCTGAATCCAGTCCTCGAACTTTGGCAGTCATATCTTTGGATACCTTACTTCCATTTTGTTTGTTTTTATCCACATCCCTTTTAATGCATTAAGTCTTCTCTTCTTCCTCTGCTCCTGTATCTGAAACCTACTTTTCCATTTTCCTCACTCCCATCGGCCTTAAACTGCAAATGTGGAGGTTGCTTGTCAATCACTCTCATTAGTTTTCTTAAAAAAGAAAAGAAAAGGGTGGGGGGAGGGGGAAATGTCTCCTAGGAGCTTCACCAGAATGAGCACTTGGGAAATGTCCTGCAAATATATATATATATATATATATATATATATATATATATATGTGTGTGTGTGTGTGTGTGTGTGTGTGTGTGTGGGGTGGTGGTGGGGTTATCCACAACAACTAAGAAAAAATGTTGCACTTAGCATGCAAACACACACAAGGTTCTCAAGAATCAAGTACTACAAATCAGTGATCACTAGATGGCAGAAAATGCTTAAGGCAAGGACACTAAAAATTTATTTTTCTGCTCTTCTATTGCTGCAAATCCAACTGTGTATTTGAAAAGCATGTCAGACCATCAGCAGTGGGTTGTTGTTTTTTTAAAAAAACCAAAATACCTGTATTGTTTTCATAACAGAAACAGATAAAATACATATAACAATCTGGCTAGGGAGTCATGTCACATGTATCTCGTCACGCCTCAGTAATAGAAAACATGTTATTATACATTATCTTCCAGTCGCATTATGCCAAGATGTCTGTTCATAGCTTGCCATGTGTGACTGGAGGTTTGATTTGCCCAGGTTTCTTTTTATATATATATAAAATCCATATGCTATAAAGCACTCAAATCATCAGTATTTGCTCATCACTCTGTAGCTCTTAAAGGCTTTTTCACAGCTTTTCTGCTAGAGCACCATTCTACATGTTATTGTTTTGTGATCCAAATCTAGATTT